CCCCCCCCCCGTCACGCATGCATGAAATTCGACGATTGCACGGTAACACTCTGCCGGGAGCGCATATGGGTGTTATTCGTCGCCAAACATTCCTTTTCGATGCCGGCCAACATTTTGCGCAGGAATCTAACTCTCGTCTGATAATCCTCTTCTTTTTCTTTCTCCTCCTCCACAATTTTCTTTGAGAATTCGGCGTGGGACCCTGTCATTACCTTGTGGAGGGCGAGGCCAGAAGCTTTGTTGTCGTGTCCAGCAGTCTTGCAAGCTTGTTCCTCTTTTTTTTTGGACCACTCTGATTTTTCCGACCCGCCAACCTTTCCCAGGAGTGGCTCAATATCGGCGAGTGCGGTTTTTATGGCAGCGGCGTTGTTGTTCTTGGTGTGGGTTTATCACGTCTGTTGTGAGAGTCCTCGGGTCTCTCGCCTGGTCGGGACCGGTGTGTGTACGTCGAGCCGTGGCGCTTTCCGTAAGTTTTGAAAAAATACGCACCTTCGCGCCTTCTGCCGATAAGAACCACCGGAAACCCTAGTTACGGTTCCGTGAAAAAAGTTACTATTCGGTGAAAAAAGTTACGTACTTTTTCGGCCTGATAATGATACCCCTTACTGAAAGATCATGAAGACATGGCATAGTCACAAGCAGGGGGGCTGATAGATATACTTGTAGCAATGCCAAGCGGTTTGTGCTGGATGTTCCCATGGAATGAGGTAGCAGGTAGAGCGGAATACCGGGTGACATGTGTGGTACGTAGAATTGATTCCAGGGATGTACAAGGTACGCCTGTTGTATACGGCGTCGCCCCCTCAACGGGGCTTGTGTGTGTACATGTGGATGCAGCTAATCACAACAAGTTTTTCTCCTCGGCGCAAGCCCGCCGACTTGTCGATACCCTATTCAACACACGTCTTGCGACAAGCTACCCCCAGTTCAGATTATCCTAACATAGAACTGGGGATCCAATCCCCACGGCCGGGAAGAGACGCGAGGAAGCTAACATGGCAGTATTGCATGTATGTGTGGGATGGAAGAGGTGAGGTTGCCGAGAATTGTATGGGAGGCAAAGTGGGCCAACAAAAAGAGTAGTAGACAATCCATGGAATGGGTCGAGGTTGTAAAGGACGTATGGAAGGGGCTCGACATCGACGAAGATGAAACGCTGGAAACGGAGGGTCTACAGGGGTTCAAGGAGAAGGTATTTGCTGCTTGTGCCGAGAGAGAATAAATAAATGTAAAGAAAGAATCCAAGGATAAGGAGGGTCTAGAAGTGTACGGAATGTTGAAGGAAGGAATAGGGTTCAAGGACTACCTACATGGACCAATGGATGCAGGAACAAAGCTTAAGGTCAAATTCAGGACCGGGGACATGGGCCTTCGAGAACGTCGGCGAAGACATAGGACGGAAGATGACAAAGACGACGAGTTCAAATGTGATTGCGGCTTCGAATGCGAAGANCTAGAAGTGTACGGAATGTTGAAGGAAGGAATAGGGTTCAAGGACTACCTACATGGACCAATGGATGCAGGAACAAAGCTTAAGGTCAAATTCAGGACCGGGGACATAGGCCTTCGAGAACGTCGACGAAGACATAGGACGGTAGACGAGGAAGACGACGAGTTCAAATGTGATTGCGGCTTCGAATGCGAAGACCGTGTTCATGTAGTCGCGGAATGTCCGTTGTACAAGAAGGAGAGGGAAGTGTACGTGACTGAGCTGGGAAAAATAGATGCGACGTACAGGGAGATGTTTAAGACATGGAACTAGAGAGGAAAGGACGGTAGCTGTGCTGGGGCATAGGAGGTGGGTTGAAAAGGCGGGAAGGCATCTATGTCTAGTCTAGTTAGGATAGACAGCCTAGGGAAGACATTTTTGAGCCACCAGAAAGGAACGATTGGCCATCGGTGATCGGTC